CGAGCCGAGTTGTAAACTCGTCTAAATGCACAAGCGCATTTTGAAACGTTTAACATATCTAGTGCATATTACATTGAAAGCGTCCGGTGGTTTTTTAGGCGCCTAAAAAAACACGTCTAGTGCGCTGTTCACTGAAGTCTTGCGGTGATTTTTATGCGCTTTAGAAAACTTGTCTAGTGCGCTGCACACTGCAAGCATACGCTGCACACTGCAAGCATACGCTGCACACTGCAAGCATACGCTGCACACTGCAAGCATACGCTGCACACTGCAAGCATACGCTGCACACTGCAAGCATACGCTGCACACTGCAAGCATACGCTGCACACTGCAAGCATACGCTGCACACTGCAAGCATACGCTGCACACTGCAAGCATACGCTGCACACTGCAAGCATACGCTGCACACTGCAAGCATACGCTGCACACTGCAGCATACCTGCAAGCAAGTACGCTGCACACTGCAAGCATACGCTGCACACTGCAAGCATACGCTGCACACTGCAAGCATACGCTGCACACTGCAAGCATACGCTGCACACTGCAAGCATACGCTGCACACTGCAAGCATACGCTGCACACTGCAAGCATACGCTGCACACTGCAAGCATACGCTGCACACTGCAAGCATACGCTGCACACTGCAAGCATACGCTGCACACTGCAAGCATACGCTGCACACTGCAAGCATACGCTGCACACTGCAAGCATACGCTGCACACTGCAAGCATACGCTGCACACTGCAAGCATACGCTGCACACTGCAAGCATACGCTGCACACTGCAAGCATACGCTGCACACTGCAAGCATACGCTGCACACTGCAAGCATACGCTGCACACTGCAAGCATACGCTGCACACTGCAAGCATACGCTGCACACTGCAAGCATACGCTGCACACTGCAAGCATACGCTGCACACTGCAAGCATACGCTGCACACTGCAAGCATACGCTGCACACTGCAAGCATACGCTGCACACTGCAAGCATACGCTGCACACTGCAAGCATACGCTGCACACTGCAAGCATACGCTGCACACTGCAAGCATACGCTGCACACTGCAAGCATACGCTGCACACTGCAAGCATACGCTGCACACTGCAAGCATACGCTGCACACTGCAAGCATACGCTGCACACTGCAAGCATACGCTGCACACTGCAAGCATACGCTGCACACTGCAAGCATACGCTGCACACTGCAAGCATACGCTGCACACTGCAAGCATACGCTGCACACTGCAAGCATACGCTGCACACTGCAAGCATACGCTGCACACCTGCAAGCATACGCTGCACACTGCAAGCATACGCTGCACACTGCAAGCATACGCTGCACACTGCAAGCATACGCTGCACACTGCAAGCATACGCTGCACACTGCAAGCATACGCTGCACACTGCAAGCATACGCTGCACACTGCAAGCATACGCTGCACACTGCAAGCATACGCTGCACACTGCAAGCATACGCTGCACACTGCAAGCATACGCTGCACACTGCAAGCATACGCTGCACACTGCAAGCATACGCTGCACACTGCAAGCATACGCTGCACACTGCAAGCATACGCTGCACACTGCAAGCATACGCTGCACACTGCAAGCATACGCTGCACACTGCAAGCATACGCTGCACACTGCAAGCATACGCTGCACACTGCAAGCATACGCTGCACACTGCAAGCATACGCTGCACACTGCAAGCATACGCTGCACACTGCAAGCATACGCTGCACACTGCAAGCATACGCTGCACACTGCAAGCATACGCTGCACACTGCAAGCATACGCTGCACACTGCAAGCATACGCTGCACACTGCAAGCATACGCTGCACACTGCAAGCATACGCTGCACACTGCAAGCATACGCTGCACACTGCAAGCATACGCTGCACACTGCAAGCATACGCTGCACACTGCAAGCATACGCTGCACACTGCAAGCATACGCTGCACACTGCAAGCATACGCTGCACACTGCAAGCATACGCTGCACACTGCAAGCATACGCTGCACACTGCAAGCATACGCTGCACACTGCAAGCATACGCTGCACACTGCAAGCATACGCTGCACACTGCAAGCATACGCTGCACACTGCAAGCATACGCTGCACACTGCAAGCATACGCTGCACACTGCAAGCATACGCTGCACACTGCAAGCATACGCTGCACACTGCAAGCATACGCTGCACACTGCAAGCATACGCTGCACACTGCAAGCATACGCTGCACACTGCAAGCATACGCTGCACACTGCAAGCATACGCTGCACACTGCAAGCATACGCTGCACACTGCAAGCATACGCTGCACACTGCAAGCATACGCTGCACACTGCAAGCATACGCTGCACACTGCAAGCATACGCTGCACACTGCAAGCATACGCTGCACACTGCAAGCATACGCTGCACACTGCAAGCATACGCTGCACACTGCAAGCATACGCTGCACACTGCAAGCATACGCTGCACACTGCAAGCATACGCTGCACACTGCAAGCATACGCTGCACACTGCAAGCATACGCTGCACACTGCAAGCATACGCTGCACACTGCAAGCATACGCTGCACACTGCAAGCATACGCTGCACACTGCAAGCATACGCTGCACACTGCAAGCATACGCTGCACACTGCAAGCATACGCTGCACACTGCAAGCATACGCTGCACACTGCAAGCATACGCTGCACACTGCAAGCATACGCTGCACACTGCAAGCATACGCTGCACACTGCAAGCATACGCTGCACACTGCAAGCATACGCTGCACACTGCAAGCATACGCTGCACACTGCAAGCATACGCTGCACACTGCAAGCATACGCTGCACACTGCAAGCATACGCTGCACACTGCAAGCATACGCTGCACACTGCAAGCATACGCTGCACACTGCAAGCATACGCTGCACACTGCAAGCATACGCTGCACACTGCAAGCATACGCTGCACACTGCAAGCATACGCTGCACACTGCAAGCATACGCTGCACACTGCAAGCATACGCTGCACACTGCAAGCATACGCTGCACACTGCAAGCATACGCTGCACACTGCAAGCATACGCTGCACACTGCAAGCATACGCTGCACACTGCAAGCATACGCTGCACACTGCAAGCATACGCTGCACACTGCAAGCATACGCTGCACACTGCAAGCATACGCTGCACACTGCAAGCATACGCTGCACACTGCAAGCATACGCTGCACACTGCAAGCATACGCTGCACACTGCAAGCATACGCTGCACACTGCAAGCATACGCTGCACACTGCAAGCATACGCTGCACACTGCAAGCATACGCTGCACACTGCAAGCATACGCTGCACACTGCAAGCATACGCTGCACACTGCAAGCATACGCTGCACACTGCAAGCATACGCTGCACACTGCAAGCATACGCTGCACACTGCAAGCATACGCTGCACACTGCAAGCATACGCTGCACACTGCAAGCATACGCTGCACACTGCAAGCATACGCTGCACACTGCAAGCATACGCTGCACACTGCAAGCATACGCTGCACACTGCAAGCATACGCTGCACACTGCAAGCATACGCTGCACACTGCAAGCATACGCTGCACACTGCAAGCATACGCTGCACACTGCAAGCATACGCTGCACACTGCAAGCATACGCTGCACACTGCAAGCATACGCTGCACACTGCAAGCATACGCTGCACACTGCAAGCATACGCTGCACACTGCAAGCATACGCTGCACACTGCAAGCATACGCTGCACACTGCAAGCATACGCTGCACACTGCAAGCATACGCTGCACACTGCAAGCATACGCTGCACACTGCAAGCATACGCTGCACACTGCAAGCATACGCTGCACACTGCAAGCATACGCTGCACACTGCAAGCATACGCTGCACACTGCAAGCATACGCTGCACACTGCAAGCATACGCTGCACACTGCAAGCATACGCTGCACACTGCAAGCATACGCTGCACACTGCAAGCATACGCTGCACACTGCAAGCATACGCTGCACACTGCAAGCATACGCTGCACACTGCAAGCATACGCTGCACACTGCAAGCATACGCTGCACACTGCAAGCATACGCTGCACACTGCAAGCATACGCTGCACACTGCAAGCATACGCTGCACACTGCAAGCATACGCTGCACACTGCAAGCATACGCTGCACACTGCAAGCATACGCTGCACACTGCAAGCATACGCTGCACACTGCAAGCATACGCTGCACACTGCAAGCATACGCTGCACACTGCAAGCATACGCTGCACACTGCAAGCATACGCTGCACACTGCAAGCATACGCTGCACACTGCAAGCATACGCTGCACACTGCAAGCATACGCTGCACACTGCAAGCATACGCTGCACACTGCAAGCATACGCTGCACACTGCAAGCATACGCTGCACACTGCAAGCATACGCTGCACACTGCAAGCATACGCTGCACACTGCAAGCATACGCTGCACACTGCAAGCATACGCTGCACACTGCAAGCATACGCTGCACACTGCAAGCATACGCTGCACACTGCAAGCATACGCTGCACACTGCAAGCATACGCTGCACACTGCAAGCATACGCTGCACACTGCAAGCATACGCTGCACACTGCAAGCATACGCTGCACACTGCAAGCATACGCTGCACACTGCAAGCATACGCTGCACACTGCAAGCATACGCTGCACACTGCAAGCATACGCTGCACACTGCACACTGCAAGCATACGCTGCACACTGCAAGCATACGCTGCACACTGCAAGCATACGCTGCACACTGCAAGCATACGCTGCACACTGCAAGCATACGCTGCACACTGCAAGCATACGCTGCACACTGCAAGCATACGCTGCACACTGCAAGCATACGCTGCACATACCCACATACCCACATACCCACATACCCACATACCCACATACCCACATACCCACATACCCACATACCCACATACCCACATACCCACATACCCACATACCCACTTCTGTGCATGATTAATCCATCACTCATTTCTGCTCCCACTCTTCCCCCTTTTACAACCCCCCCAATCCCCCGCCACTCCCATCCCCTCCCCCACTGCTCTGCAGCCGACCCCTCTCCTCTCAAGTCGTTCTCCCACTGGCCTCTCTCCAGCGCCCACCCGCTCCTCACAGCCGGCTCAGCTCGCCGCAACCGCTCGTCGCTCTCCCTCACCACGCTCTCCGACCTGAATGCCGCATCCCTCGCGCTGCACCCCGCCCCGTTTGCTCTGCTCGCCCCTGCCACGCCCACCTCCCCCTGCCGCCCCTTCTCCTTCTCCACCTCCTTCACCTTCCGCATCTCCTCCCCCAACGCCGCGGGGCTGGGCGGCGAGGGCTTGGCGTTTGTGATGCTGCCGACGCCCACGCTCGGCCTGCCGGGACCGTCCCTGGGCTACGGGCGCCTGCTGCTGCCCCCGGGGAGCACGACTGCTGCTGCTGCTGCTGATGATGGCTCCAGTGTCAGCAGTGTGGCGTCAAGTCAGGTGGGCAGCAAATGCATAAACTCATTTGTTGCTCCTTTTGTCTTGATCTCTTCTTGCAAGAGAGCAGCTGAGCAAGAGAGCCTTTCTCCCTCGCTCTCTTGTTCTCCTACCCTGCTGCTCCGATGTTCTGCTTATCTGCTTCTTCCCCCCTGCTCGCCCCTCATCCACAGCAGCACCAGTACTCCGCTCTTTAACATGCCCCGTCCCGTCCAACCCCTATCCACAGCAGCAGCGGAGTCTGGTAGTGGAGTTTGACACATGCGCCTCCCCCGAGTTCTGGGGCCGGCAGGAGCACCACGTGGGGGTGAACCTGGATGGCAGCATGCTTGCCTCTTCCCCCTGCCTTCCCCTTCACACCCCCCTCCCTCTCTCCCTCCCCAATTTTCCCCATTCGTTCCACAGCAGCAGCGGAGTCTGGCAGTGGAGTTTGACACAAGCGCCTCTGCGGAGTTCTGGGACCGGCAGGAGCACCACGTGGGGGTGAACGTGGATGGCAGCATGCTCTCTCTCGCCTCTGCCCCCGTGCACCCCGTCGGCATCCCCTCCCTCAACGCCGGTCAAACCCTCCTCGCCACCATCCAGTACAACGCCTCCTCCTCCCAGCTCACCGTCTGGCTCTCCCCCGCCCCACCCTCCTCCTCCTCCTCCTCTTCTTCCTCCTCCTCCCCTCCCTCCTCCCCACCCTCCTCCCCTCCCCGCCCGTCCCCTCGCCCCACCCCTTGCTTCCCTCGCTTCCTTGGTTTCCCTCTGTTGCCTCGCTGCTGCTCCTCCTCCTCCTCCTCCTCCTCCTCCTCCTCCTCCTCCTCCTCCTCCTCCTCCTCCTCCTCCTCCTCCTCCTCCTCCTCCTCCTCCTCCTCTTCCTCCTCCTCCTCCTCCTCCTCCCCCCCTTCTCTCCCCCGCTCTGCCGTCCTCACCACATTCCTGGACACCTGCGATTGGCTCGGTGGGAACGACCCAAATGCAGCAGCAGCAGCAGCGCCGCCCCCGCCGCTGTTTGTGGGCTTCACAGCGGCTACTGGCAAGGGGGTGGAGCAGGCGCAGGCGCACGAGGTGCTGGGGTGGAGTTTTGAAGTCGGGGATGGTGAGTGATTTGAGGTGTCGTTTATCCCTGTTTTGAGCGTATTTTAGGAGGAAGTAACCCTTGGATTACTATCGAAAAGAACCTACAAACAAACCCCTCTACTGCATCGTTCCCGTTTAATGAGTTTGCAAACTGCATCGTAAATTTTGGAACCTTTTTTGTATATACATTATTTATTTGTTTGTTTTACATGGGGTATTTACGTGTGAAGCGCAGTACATGTATTGTGCATGCGTGTATACACAATCGCTCTTGAGACTTCTTTTCCAAGTCAGGCTTTCACCGTGCATTTCGTTAAGTTTGTACTGCAGTATTCTCAATCCATCCCCCCCCCCCCCCCCCCCCCCCCTTCCCTCCCCCTCCTTTCCCCTCGTCCCCCTTCTCCGCCTCTCCACTGCACCCCCCTTCCCCTCCTCCCCTGTCTGCTTCCCCCTCTACCCTGCACCCCCCTCCCCTTGTTTCACACATCACATCACATCGCATCGCATCGCATCGCATCACATCACATCACATCACATTTAATCATATCATCAACCCCAGCAGCGGAGGATCCGCTTTCGTTTTGGGCGGCAGAATCGTTCTCCTTCCCCTACATCACGCCAGCCACTCCCCTGCTGACACGTGGCAGCACAAGGAAGCGTTTTTTCGCCGCCGACCTCTCTGTCGCTGCCGACGTGGCATCCACCAGCCAATCAGACGATCCCGCCCCTGGAGCCATCTTTTTCCCTCGCCGTCTCCCCCTCCTCTACCCCTCCTCCTCCCCTCCCTTCCCCCCTCCTCCTTTTCCTCTTCCTCGCAGCTCCCCCAGTTCCTCTCCCTCCTCCTCCCTTTCCCAACCCTCAGCCACCGAACCTCCCACCGAACCTCCCATCTGCATGGCTCGCTCTTTCACCTTCACATACGGCTTTTCCATAAATGTATCCGCGTCTCAAGGTCTCGCATTCGTTATAAGCACACACGCGAGCGTGGGCCTAGGCGGGGCTTATATGGGGTACGGCCGCGACCCATCCTCGCGACTCGCTAATGGCAGCTGGCCGGACGGCGCGCGGAGTGTAGCTGTGGAGTGGCGCACTGCAACGAACCCCGAAGGCGATAGAAACCGTGTACAGGTCAGCATTAACACTGATTTCAACATGACATCGGTTTTCGCAAAGGAATCCCTTTATGCGATGGAGCCGGAGGAGGTGTGGCAGATGAGGGTTGACTATAACGGGAGCAGCAAGGAGATGGCGCTGAGATGGTACCGCCCCCCTTTTCTACGAGGCATCATGAGGGCCACTATTGACTTGTGTGCTGCTCTCAGTGAGGCCTCTGACACCGCCGGAAGCAGCAGTGGTAGCGAGGGCGGCAGCAGCAGCGGCAGCAGCAGCAGCAGCAGCAGCGGCAGCGGTGTGACGGACCCAGCATCGACGTCGTTCGGGCAGCTGTTCATTGGCTTCACCAGTGCTGCTCTCCCTCCTCCCTCCGGCCGCCTGCCTTCCCCCGTCACCCTCTCCTCCTGGACCTTCAGATTCACAGGTATGGGGGAGAAGAAGGGTGGAGGGTAAGAATGGTGTGGAGTAGTATCAGTAGCAGGGATCGCCATCCTTCGGGCAGCTGTTTGTGGGCTTCACCAGCGCGGCTCTCCCTACCCCCCCTGGCTACGTGCCTTCTCCCGTCACCCTCTACGCCTGGACTTTCCGATCCGGTTCACAGGTAGGGGGAAAGAGAGAGGGCGAGATGGGGGAGGGAGGGAAAGAGAGGAGGGTACCGTCGCTCTCTCCTCCTGGACATTCTGATATACAGTTAGAATTCCCGTTCCTGTAATGTAACCCCACGGAACCCCACCCACACACCCACTTGCACCCCTACGTATCCCCTTGCATCCCCACGCATCCCATTGCACCACAACGTATCCGCTTGCGTGCATCCCTCATGCGGGTCAAGGCACCTGCTGTCTCATCTCATCACTGTCTTCATCTCTCCTCCTGCCACAAATCTCATGGAGTTTGTCTCGCCGTCTTAATAACACTCAAGTTGATGGACATCAGACCTCCGCAGCCCACCTGTTTACTAATAACAGCACCTGCTGTCTCATCTCATCACTGTCTTCATCTCTCCTCCTGCCACAAATCTCATGGAGTTTGTCTCGCCGTCTTAATAACACTCAAGTTGATGGACATCAGACCTCCGCAGCCCACCTGTTTAATAATAACAGCACCTGCTGTCTCATCTCATTACTGTCTTCATCTCTCCTCCTGCCACAAATCTTCCCACTTTTAAGGCATGGTTGCGTGCTCTTCAACGCATGCCTGCATGCCCTTCAAAGCACCTGCTGTCTCATACCTGGCCTCATCTCTCCTCCTGCCTCAAACCCCCCACTGACCCTCCTCCCATCCTCCCTCTCCCCCCCCCCCCCCCCACAGACACTGGCCCTTGCCAGGCCTCTCCACTGCTGCCCTGTTGAACGTCCATGTGCACCAAGGCACCTGCGCCCTGCCCCGTGGGAACCCTCTGTCCTCGTGTCTCATACCCTCTATCTCCGCTTTCTTCACCCTGCCCTAACAGACACCGATCCCTGCCAGGGTTCTCCAGTGCTGCCCTGTGGAACGGGCGTGTGCAGCAAGGCGCCAGCCTCATGGGGTGGGGTGAGACCCCTCTAACCTCGTGTCTCATACAATCTCTCCCCTCACCCACCAACTCTCTCACTCATTCCCTTCACACCCCCCCAACAGACACTGACCCCTGCACGGGTTCTCCAGTGCTGCCCTGTGGAGCGGGCGTGTGCACCAAGGCACCTGCCCCATGGGACCCGTCTATTCTCGTGCCCTCCTGCAAGTGCCCCTTCAACCTCCCCTCCTTCGAACCCTCTCACCTCTCCGGCCTGCCCTCCTGCTTCCCCGGTGAGTCGTGGAGTGCGGTAAGTGATAGGTGGAGTGCGGTAAGTGATAGGTGGAGTGCGGTAAGTGAGAGGTGGAGTGCGGTAAGTGAGAGGTGGAGTGCGGTACGCAAGGTGCCTGCCCCATGGAACCCCTCTATCCTCGTGCCCTCCTGCAAGTGCCCCTTCAATCTCCCCTCCTTCGAGCCCTCGCACCTCTCCGGCTTGCCCTCCTTCCCCGGTGAGTCATGGAGTGCATTTGGCAAGCGGTGGAGTGCGGTAGGTGAGAGGTGTAGTGCGGTAGGTGAGAGGTGTAGTGCGGTAGGCAAGATGTCGAATGCGATAGGCAAGGCGTGGAGTGCCGTAGGTGAGGTGAGACTTGGAGTGCGGTGGGTGATAGGTGGAGTGCCGTAGGTGAGACTTGGAGTGCGGTGGGTGATAGGTGGATTGCCGTAGGTGAGACTTGGAGTGCGGTAGGTGATAGGTGGAGTGCCGTAGGTGAGACTTGGAGTGCAGTGGGTGAGAATTGGAGTGCTGTAGGTGAGACTTGGAGTGCGGTGGGTGAGAATTGGAGTGCTGTAGGTGCCCTTTTGGTTTGTTTGTGCATCACACGGTATTGCATGCATGCATGCTCTCGTTCTCGATTCACGCCACTCTTGAGAAAATGCACAAGTGCATACCCTTTGCTTCTGAAAATTCCTTAATGAACCTGCTTTTTTTTTCTCTCTTTTGCTCCTGAAATTCCTTAAAAGTGTGTGCTTTAATGAACTACTACGCTCCTGAATACCTCTTTTTCTCCTTTCCGCTCGTTTCCCTCCCTCCCACCCACCGCCTTCCCCTCCCCCCTTCTTCCCCTACCTCTGAGTCGACTCAAAAACGAGGTGACTTTTGAGTCGACTCAAAACCCACCCACCGCCTTCCCCTCCCCCCTTCTTCCCCTATCTCTTCATTTCCCCTTTCTCCCCCTCCCTCATTTTCCATCCCCCTTTCCCGTTTACCCTTTTCCCCCATCTCGCGCCCCCCTGTCCCATTTCCCCACCATCCCCTTCCCCCTCTCCCTCACCAGATTCCTTCAGGTGTCGCCATTTCCTTCGCAACCCATGTGCCCCGGGGGTGTGCATTGATGACATAGACGGCACCTATTCCTGCCTCTGCCCCTCGCCCTTCTTCCCCTTCTACTTCTACCCGAAAGGCAACGCCCGTTGTTACCAGTGTGCGTAACACTCTGCCCCCAAGGGGGAACTGGCTGGGTTCTTACCCCCTGCCTCTGCCCCTCGCACTTCTCCCCCTCTCTCTGAGATACATTCGCTGCCCCTCTCTCACACGGTCTCTCACACGGTCTCTCACACGGTCTGAAATCCGCGTGCATTGAGGTTGTTTTTGAGGCGCCTCAAAAAAAATCTCTCTGAGATACATTCGCTGCCCCTCTCTCACACGGTCGCGCGTTCTGTTCTGTCCATCTTATCGTTCTGTTCATGCTCCCAAGTCAGCGTGTCAAGTGATACTATTCATGTATCACTTGACTTGTCCTCATGGCTCGTCTCGTCTGGTACCATTGACTTCTTTCGCGTCGATTCAGAAGTTGACTTGTCATTATGGCTCGTCTCGTCAATGTTCTGATAACATTGACTTCCGAGACGCCTCAAGGCTCATTACCGACACTTGTCATACCAACACTTTCGGATGACCGTGTAGTTCAGCCTCTTAGGTACATCTTAGTCAGGTGATCTGAGTTTACTCAGATGTCTTTTGAGAATTCTCAAAAGGTAGTTCAGCCTCTTAGGTACATCTTAGTCAGGTGATCTGAGTTTACTCAGATGTCTTTTGAGAATTCTCAAAAGTGTAGTTCAGCCTCTTAGGTACATCTTAGTCAGGTGATCTGAGTTTACTCAGATGTCTTTTGAGAATTCTCAAAAGTGTAGTTCAGCCTCTTAGGTGCATCTGAGTCAGGTGGTCTGAGTATACTCAGATGTCTCCTCCATCCTTGCTGCTTGCATTACAATGACCTGCCTGCTTGCCTGTCTGCCTGCCCCATGCCTACCCTGTGCATGCAGTGCGATCGTTTGAGCTGCGAATGCCCACCTTCCTGTCTCCCTACGGCCTCACATGCCCTCTCATCCTCAACACCTACGGACTCACCCAAGCGGCCTTCTTCAGGCAGAACAAGGTGTGAAAGGCTTATTACAAAAGGCTATCGGTTTGGGTTACTACAAGACAAGTTGCATTACATCAGATTCGTCACACAACTGCATTGCCTTGTATACTGCCTTTATTTTCTTGTCACCTGCCCTTTCTTCTGGTCACCTGCCCACCCTCATTTCCTTGCCCCACTGCCCCTCAATCCCCCTCACGGCCCCTCATTTTCCCTCAATTTTTTTTCACTTCCTCTCACTTCCGCTCTCCGCCCCGCACTTTCCCTCACTGCTCTGCACTGGCCCTCACTTTCGCTTCATTCTTCCGACCACCCATTCTTTGTCCCGTCCCAAATCCGTACCTCCTTCCCATTTTCCCTCTTAAGTCTTATTTTTTTCGTCGACTACCCATGTTACAACCACCTCCATCTCTCCTTGTGCGGCTTGCAGGGCTTCCAATGCCGAGCGGCCATCCCTGTGGAGGATCTAATCAACGTCGCCAGCCGGGCTTACTCCCAATGCATTGCACTGCCGTGTACACTTGAGTCAACTTAAAAGTCATTCTTCCTCTGACCCTTGTTCTGTCCTCCATCTCCTTGATATGATTGCAGGGCTTCCAGTGCCGAGCGCCCATCCCTGTGGAAACTCTAATCAACGTCACCAGCCGGGCTTACTCCCAATGCACCTCCATGTACACTGCTAATTATGTATGTGCCATTGCGTTTATGTGGTTGCCTGTGCGTTTGTCCAAGTGCATTTATGTAACTCGTAAGCGCTAGTGCGTTTATGTAAGTGCCATTGACTCTAACCTCTAAACTAACTCCTCGCTTCCCTCCATGTGTGCCTACAGGGTGACTCTTGTGACTGCATTGACGCATTGTTCTCCTCTCTCTCTGGGTTGCCTTTCCTGCTGACGCAGTATTTGATCCCCACATTCCCACCCACCTCACCTCCTCCCTTCCCTCCATGTGTGCCTACAGAGTGACTCTTGTGACTGCATTGACGCATTGTTCTCCTCTCGGATTCAGCCGCTCAGCTCGATTCTTCCAATAACCGCGTATTCTCTTCCCACTCCCTTCTAAACCTGGCCGGACACGTGTGTCTGCAGGGTGACTCGTGTGACTCCCTCAACGCCCTCTTCTCCACGCGCATTCAGTCGCTCAACCCCGCCCTCAGCTGCTCTGATGGGCCCCGGCCCGGCCAGGTGGGTGCTGCAGATGATGAGTGGAGATGAGTGCAGATGTGTGGAGATGAGTGGAGATGAGTGGAGATGAGTGGAGATGAGTGCAGATGAGTGGAGATGAGTGGAGATGAGTGGAGATGAGTGCAGGTGTTAGCAAATACTCTGACAGCCGCTCAAGCCCGCCCTCGGCTGCTCAGATGGGCCCGGCCAGGTGGGTGCAGTAGGTGCCAATAAGGTGCCAATAAGTGCAGGTGCCAATAAGTGCAGGTGCCAATAAGTGCAGGTGCCAATAAGTGCAGGTGCGGATCACTCACTCGCCCAAGATGGGCTCTATTGCTTGTGGAAGTTCGTGCAGCACATCACATCGCATCCCATGCAGCATTATATCGCATAATTGCACCCCGTCATGTCGCAACGTATTTCATCACCTCGCATCGCATCACGGTACACATAGTTATCCAGGCTTTCATTCATCGCAGGCTTTCACACATTCCTCTCCCCCCTCCTCCCCTCTCTCCCCCCTCCTACCCTCTCTCTCCGCTCCTCTCTCCCCCATCCTCCTCCCTCCTCCTCTCGCCCTCCTCCTCCTCCATCCTCCTCTCTCCCCCCTCCTCCTCCCTCCTCCTCTCTCCTCCCTCCTCCCTCCTCTCTCCCCGCTCCTCCTCCCTCTATCCTCCCTCCCTCCTCCCCCGCAGCTTCTCTGTGTTGACTTCAATCGGACGTGGCATGCCAATGTAGAACTCAAAATCCACAAATATGGGCGCGTATTCACACATCCTCTCCCCCCCCTCTCCCCACTCTCCCCCTTCTCCCCTCTCTCCCCCATTCTCCCCTCTCTCCCCCCTTCTCCCCCCTCTTCCCCCTCTCTCCTCTCTCCCCCTTCTCCCCTCTCCCCCCTTCTCCCCCCTCTCCCCTCTCTCCCCCTTCTCCCCTCCCCCCCTCTTCTTCCCTCTCTCCCCCTTCTCCCCTCTCTCCCCCCTTCTCCCCCATCTCCCCCTTCTCCCCTCTCTCCCCCTTCTCCCCTCTCTCCCCCCTTCTCCCGTCTCCCCCCCTTCTCCCTCCCCTACAGCTCCTCTGTGTAAACTTCAACCGGACGTGGCTAGAGTTGGAAAAAACCCGCGTGGCATGCCAAGTCGCTGTCCAACTCACCCCAGCCACACCGCCTCCGAGCCCTCAGCCACCCCCTCCTCTAGCTGACTACATGAATCAAAACGTGCTCGTGAAGGTGATGCAGGGGCCGCAGTCCTGCCAGCAGCTGTGGCAGACGTTCGGAGTCTCCTCCCCCACGCGCTTCTTTCAAATGAATCCCGGGCTGTCGTGCGACTCGCTCCTGCCGTACAGCCCCCTGCGGGGGAATGTAATTAGTAGGGTGAGTTGGGTTGCGTGTGTGCAGTGGGTGGGGGGCCAAGTGGGGGACCGGGTATTGGAGAAGGGAATGGGGAATGGGTGAAGGGAAGCGGAGGGAGGGGGGACTGGGCGTTTGGCATCGCCTTCCCCACGCGCTTCTTACAGATGAATTCCGGGCTTTCGTGCGACTCGCTGCTGCCGTACAGCCTTCTGCGGGGGAATATGATTGTCAGAAGACCGGCACTGGGGATCCCCGATTGATCGTAAGGAGGGTTACAGACATGTTAGCCTGGGGGCTGGGTTGGTTGCACGCTTTTGGAACTAGTCCTTTTATCCCAGTGATCTTGTGACTGGGATTTTGACATGGTATTAGAACGGTCTCGGGTTCGAATCCCCATGTGTGCACATGCTGCCGAAGGCACTGTCAATGTCCTGGGCCTCTCAGTGTGGGGGGTGTCAAAAGACTGGCACTAAGAATCCCCGCTTGATCATAGGGGGGTTGCAGGAATGTTAGCCTGGGGGGCTTTGGGTGCACTGACCTGCATTTGGAACAAGCCTTTTTATCCCAGTGATCTCGTGACTGGGATTCTGACAATGATTAGTAGGGTGAGTTGGACTGGACGGGCCTGTGTGTGGGGTGTGTGCGGTGAGGAGGTGGGGGATGCGAGAGATTCCGCAAGAGAGTGTGCAAGGGTGTGTGCAAGTGAGCGTGCAAAAAATTGTGCAAGAGAGTGTGTGAGTCCGTGCAAAAGAGTGTGTGAGAGAGTGTGCAAGAATTCACGCGTTGACTCCGTTTTGTAATTCAGGTTTTGCCTCTTCAAAGCTTCCAACAGGAAGGTGCGTGTAAGGGGGGGGAGGGTGGGGTTTTTGGGAGGGGGAGTGAGGGGCTGCTGCTGCGGTGGAAGTGGGGATGTGGGAGTGTGTGTGTGAGGGAATGATATTGGGTACTGGTGGTGCGACGCTCTGCTTCTGTACAGTCCGCTGCAGGAGACTCGGATGGTTAAGGTGAGGCCAGGAATATGGATAGCCTAGTGTCCAGGTTGATTTGGGATATGAGTGTGGGGATGCGAGTGTGGGTGGTGTGAGTGTGGGGGATGTGAGTGGGGGATGTGAGTGTGGGTGGTGTAAGTGTGAGGGATGTGAGTGTGGGTGGTGTGAGTGTGGGGGATGTGAGTGTGGGTGGTGTGAGTGTGGGGGATGTGAGTGTGGGTGGTGTGAGTGTGTGGGATGTGAGTGTAGGTGGTGTGAGTGTGGGGGATGTGAGTGTGGGTGGTGTGAGTGTGAGGGATGCGAGTGTGGGTGGTGTGAGTGTGGAGGATGCGAGTGTGGGTGGTGTGAGTGTGAGGGATGCGAGTGTGGGTGGTGTGAGTGGGGGATGTGAGTGTGGGTGACGTGAGTGTGGGTGGTATTGGTGTGGGGGATGTGAGTGTGGGTGGTGTGAGTGTGAGGGATGCGAGTGTGGGGGATGTGAGTGTGGGGGATGTGAGTGTGGGGGATGTGAGTGTGGGATGTGAATGTGGGTGGTGTTGTTTCTGGACATGTTTGCAATAAAGCAATACGCATGATTATCTTATGCGGGTCTTTTTCTTCTTCGATCCTGTTCAATCTGATGGCTGACTCACAGATTTGTGTGGCTGCTATTGACGCGCGGCCACTCTCCGGCATTACATGTTCGACCAAGCGCACCTACAGTGTGAAGCGAGGAGACACATGCGGCATGTTGATCGTAAAGAGATACCGCCGCAGTCCTGACATGTTTAGGGAGCTTAACAATGGATATGATTGTACTGTAACCAGGTTGTGGATTGGGATGTTGCTCTGTTTACCTGTATAAATGCTAATCTCGTTGAACTAATCGCTTTTTCTTGCAACTGTGTACATTTCCACACTGTAGTCTCACTATGACCTCAATTCCCGAGGCCTCGTAGAGGTGCGAGGTCGTCCGAGTTCTCTAGACTGAGTATGCGTTGCAGTACGATAAAGTAAGGTGAATGGGTTTGACAAGTCGTTATAAGGTCCTCTTCCAAGCCAAAGTGTGGTACAGTAAGTGTGCTGAAATCCTAATGAACATGAGCAGAGTTGCACATAAAAATATACCTTGTTCGTAAAGAGATACCGCCGCAGTCCTGACATGTTTAGGGAGCTTAACAATGGATATGATTGTACTGTAACCAGGTTGTGGATTGGGATGTTGCTCTGTTTACCTGTATAAATGCTAACCTCGTTGAACTAATCGCTTTTTCTTGCAACTGTGTACATTTCCACACTGTAGTCTCACTATGACCTCAATTCCCGAGGCCTCGTAGAGGTGCGAGGTCGTCCGAGTTCTCTAGACTGAGTATGCGTTGCAGTGCGATAAAGTAAGGTGAATGGGTTTGACAAGTCGTTATAAGGTCCTCTTCCAAGCCAAAGTGTGGTACAGTAAGTGTGCTGAAATCCTAATGAACATGAGCAGAGTTGCACATAAAAATATACCTTGTTCGTTTTGCTTTCCGCATCCTACGGTGGTTAGTAAAATAGTTTACCCCCTTGTGCTACTTGCAGCCGGTTCATTACTAGTGCTGATGTAGCCTACGGATGAGGAGGGAAGGCGGGCCTATTGCAGCGAGTTGAGGAAGAGAATGGCGACGACAATCACACCAATGATGACACTGACACAGTTGTAGGAGAGCTGCCGTGCAGGCTCAGGGAATACGGCGCACTCAGTTCTGCGATGCTGCCCTTGCGATTCACATCAAAACCCTGTGCGCCTCTCGAGAGGAGGGAAGGAGGGCCTATTGCAGCGAGTTGAGGAAGAGTATGACAACGACAATGACACCGATGATGATGGGGATGATGCTGATGCCGTACAGCACGCTGTAGCCCTGCACATGCCGCATGCCATGAGGTGGGTGGAGCATGGTGCATATCGGAGCGGAGAAGACATGGATATTAGAATCGGGAAAGGGTCGAGGTGGCAGTGCGTTCAAATGGTGGGATGTTGTTGGTCTGACAATAATATGGCGCTGACACAACAAGCCGAGCTGCTTTTGAGGCAACCCAGGAGGACACAGTTAGTGTGTGTGTGTGTAGAGAGCACGCACCACCCAGGGAAGCACTTTGCTGCTGAGGTCCTTCTCCTCCTCCGCCTGCTCCTCTGCTGCCTTCTCAACTCGCTCAACCACACAGCGTCCCATTGGAGGGAGCGAGAGCAGAGAGAACAGGGATCAAAGCACAGAGAGAGAGCACGCACGCACCACCCAAGGAGGCACTTTGCTGCTGAGGTCCTTCTCCTCCTCTGCCTGCTCCTCTGCTGCTGTCGGACTTGGCATGCTTGGTGCACTGCCCTTACCCTTGTATGTCTGGACCGTGTATTATAACAAAGGACCATTCGAGAAAGTGAGAGAGAGCAGAGAGATAGATAGACCACGCACCACCCAGGAAGGCACTTTGCTGCTGAGGTCCTTCTCCTCCTCCGCCTGCTTCTCCGCCGCCTTCTCCACGCGCTCCACCACCGCGCCCCATTGGCGAGAGAGAGAGAGAGCAGAGAGAACAGAGAGAACAGAGATCAAACCAGAGAGAGAGAGAGAGAGAGAGAAAGAACGCACCACCCAGGGGGGCACTTTGCTGCTGAGGTCCTTCTCCTCCTCCGCCTGCTTCTCTGCCGCCTTCTCAACTCGCTCCACCACCGCGTCCCATTGGCTCGCAGACGACCCGCCACCGCCTGCTGACGTGGCGGATGCTGAGTAGGCGGCAGGAGTGCGGTTGGCCTGGGCGCCGCCCTGCAGCCCCACGTCGGTGATCTGCGCGTAGGGGGACGTGCGCTGCCCGCCTGCCCCCACTGCCTCCTCAGCGGCGGGCTCCTCCTGGCCGGTGGACGGCGGGCACAGTGGGAGGGAAAGACGGGGGAGAGAGGATGGGTGGTTGGCCTGTGCGCCGCCCTGCAGCCCCACGTCGGTGATCTGTGCATAGGGGGACGTGCGCTGCCCGCCCAGGTCCCAGTGCCTCCTCAGGGCCTGGCTCCTCCTGGCAGGGGGAGGGCATTAGGGGGAGGGAGGTGAGGGGGAGGGGGGGGGGGGGGGGGGAGAGGGGGGGGAGGAGAGAGGGTTCAAGGAGAGGTGTAAGGGAGGCGTGTGGGGGTGTGAGGTGAGTGCTGGCCACCGGAAGGGGGACGTGCGCCGCCCTGCAACCCCGCGTCGGTGATCTGCGCGTAGGGGGACGTGCGCTGGCCACCAGGTCCCAGTGCGTCCTGCGCATATGAGAAGAGGGGGCGCCGCCCTGCAACCCCACGTCGGTGATTTGCACGTAGGGGGATGTGAGCTGCCCGCCTGCCCCCACTGCCTCCTCAGGGCCTGGCTCCTCCTGGCAGGGGGAGGGTCGTGAGGGAAGGTGGTGGAGAAAGGGAGGAAAGAGGCAGGGTTAGGAGAGGGGGGTCAGGGAGTGGCGTAAGCGAGGGGTGTGTGTGGTAGCGAGGGGGGGGGAGAGGGAGGGGAGAGGGGTGGGGTGGGGGAGAGGCGTGGAGGAGGGGAGGCGCCGCCCTGCAACCCCGCGTCGGTGATCTGCGCGTAGGGGGACGTGCGCTGGCCACCAGGTCCCAGTGCGTCCTGCGTATATGAGAAGAGGGGGCGCCGCCCTGCAGCCCCACGTCGGTGATTTGCGCGTAGGGGGACGTGAGCTGCCCGCCTGCCCCCATTGCCTCCTCGGCGGCTGGCTCCTCCTGGCCGGGGGAGGGTCATGGGGGAATAGCGTGGTGGGGGAATAGCGTGGTGGGGGAATAGCGTGGTGGGGGAATAGCGTGGTGGGGGAATGGCGTGGTGGGGGAATGGCGTGGTGGGGGAATGGCGTGGTGGGGGAATGGCGTGGTGGAGAGGGATGAGGAGGAGCAGAGGTGGGGGCGAAGGAGGTTGAGAGGGATGAGGGAGCGGTGTGGGGGAGATTGGTGGGGGGACGGGGGTTAGGGAAGAGGGGTCTGGGAGAGGCGAGTGGGAGGGGGTTAGGGGAGATGCATGGGAAGACAACTGGGGGAGAGGTGTGACACAAAAGAGAGGAGAAAAAACCCCACTAGTCGCTTTAAATCCCTTTCTTGAATCTCACCTTTCTGAAGCCTTGCCACTTTAATCTCCCCATCGCCCTTTAACCCCCACATCACCTCTTATCCCTTCGTATCCCCCGATCCCTCCTGCCCTCGCTCACCCGCAGGCGCGGCCAGTCGCGCATGTCCTGCCTGCGCTAGCTCTCCTTATCCCTCTCATTATCTCTCCTCATTCCCCCCATCATCCCTTATCTTCTCGACACCCCCCCATGGCTCACCCGTAGGTGCGGCCAGTCACGCATGTCCTGCGCCAGCTCTCCTTATATCCCTCTATCACCCCTTCCCCTCTTCCCCTCCTTCCCCCCCACCCCCCCCCCCCCCCCATGGCTCACCCGTAGGCGCGGCCAGTCTCGCATGTCCTGCGCCAGCTTGCGCAGCACCATGCGATCTGCTGGTACACGGTCCTCACACACCTGCAGGGGGGGAAGGGAGGGAAAGTGGGGAGGGCGAGGGGGAGACATCTCAAAAGCAGCTTGCGCAGCACCATGCGATCTGCTGGTACACGGTCCTCACACACCTGCAGGGCGGGGAAGGAGGGAAGGGGGGGGAGTTGTGAGGAGAGAAGGAGGAGGGGAAAAGGGTGAGGGAGCGGGGGGAGGCGTCTTGAACCAGCTTGCGCAGCACCATGCGATCTGCTGCCATGCGATCTGCTGCCATGCGATCTGCTGCCATGCGATCTGCTGGCATGCGATCTGCTGCCATGCGATCTGCTGCCATGCGATCTGCTGCCATGCGATCTGCTGCCATGCGGTCTGCTGCCATGCGGTCTGCTGCCATGCGGTCCTCACACACCTGCAAGGAGCGGGGGGGGAGGGTGGAGACATCTCAAAAGCAGCTTGCGCAGAACCATGCGGTCTGCTGGCATGCGGTCTGCTGGCATGCGGTCTGCTCAGCAGTCTGTTTTTTGGAAGCAGACTCTGCTGGCATGCGGTCCCTCACACACAACTGCAAGGGTGGAGGGAGATGCGGAGGGAAACGGGCACAGAGGGGAGAGGGCGCGGATGGGCAGGGAGGGGAGAGGGCGGGGATGTTTCAGACGCATGCGCTTGCGCAGTGAGAGGGGTGGAGCAGTGAGAGGGGTGGAGCAGTGAGAGGGGTGGAGCAGTGAGAGGGGTGGAGCAGTGAGAGGGGTGGAGCAGTGAGAGGGGTGGAGCAGTGAGAGGGGTGGAGCAGTGAGAGGGGTGGGGACTTGCCGAGCAGAATACAGCAGTTGAGCATTCCCCCCACCCTATCGCCCACCCTATCGCCCACCCTATCGCCCACCCTATCGCCCACCCTATCGCCCACACTATCGCCCACCCTATCGCCCACCCTATCGCCCACACTATCGCCCACACTATCGCCCACCCTATCGCCCACCCTATCGCCCACACTATCGCCCACCCTATCGCCCACCCTATCGCCCACCCTATCGCCCACCCTATCGCCCACCCTATCGCCCACCCTATCGCCCACCCTATCGCCCACCCTATCGCCCACCCTATCGCCCACCCTATCGCCCACCCTATCGCCCACCCTATCGCCCACCCTATCGCCCACCCTATCGCCCACCCTATCGCCCACCCTATCGCCCACCCTATCGCCCACCCTATCGCCCACCCTATCGCCCACCCTATCGCCCACCCTATCGCCCACACTATCGCAACCACACTTTCCCTCCCCTTCCCCACCTCTCCGGCCCTCCTCACCGTCCCTCTCGCCCCCATCCTGCCCCCCTCACACTCCTCGCCAACCAAGCCCCACATCTCCCCTTCCCCGTCCCGCCCCCCACCTCTCCCCTCCCCCGCCCAGCCCCCCACCTCTCCCCTCCCCCGTGCGCACATCTCCCCTCCCCCGCCCCCACCTCCCCAATCTCCCCTGCGCGCACCTCAAGGAAGGCATTGGCGATCTCGTCGCGGGAGCACCCACTTTCATTCTCGATGCCCACCGCCCCCTTCCCTCTCCCCCACCCACCTCTCCCCTCCTCTCCCCTCGCCTCTCCCCTCCCCTCCCCAGCGCGCACCTCAAGAAACGCGTCAGCGATCTCGTCGCGGGAGCACCCGCTTTCGTTCTCGATGCCCTTCCCCACCCCACCCCGCTCTCCGCCTCTTTCCCCCCTCTTCCGCCCTCTCCCTTCCCCCGCTCCTCTCGTCCCTCCCCCAGCGCGCACCTCAAGGAAGGCGTCGGCAATCTCGTCGCGCGAGCACCCGCTTTCATTCTCGATGCCCATCTGCCGCCGCCGCTCCGCCTCGCGCGGGTCCTCGATCATCAGCACCAGCCGGATCTGCGCATTGGCGGGCGAGAGGTGGGTGCGGTGGGACGAGGTGAATTGCGGTGAGGGGAAGTTAATGGACTGGGTCCTCGATCATCAGCACCAGCCGGATCTGCGCATCGGCGCGCAGTGAGGTGAGTGGGGGTGAGACGAGGTGAATTGCGGTGAGGGGGCGTTAGTGAATCGGGTCCTCGATTGGCGCGCGTGACGTCGCATCGGCGCGCGTCACGTCACATTGGCGCGGGCGGCAGGCGCGCGGAGATTGGCGCGCGGCAAAAGGGGAAGGGGCAGCGAAATGAAGACAGCAGGGAGGTGAGCGAAGCGCGCGAACGACGGCGGGCGCTGACGGTCAAGGACGGACATCAATGGATAACGACGGAAATAGACAGACACTGACGGACAATGACGGACAAAACCAGACAACGACGGCGACAGGGAGCGTGCAGCGAGGCCGCACGCACAATGCGAGTCAATTCTGAAATCTGTCAAACTGCTGGTCGCATACGCAGTGTACATGGGTGAACGCACACGGATAACGCACCTCCTGCACCGTCATGTCGCGACGCAGGGTACGAACTTCAGACTAGGGTACCCCTAATGAACACGGATAACGCACCTCCTGCACCGTCATGTCGCGACGCTCCTTGAGCAACTCGATGGTCTGCCACGCACGCACACGCACACGCACAGTCATGGATACGAATTAGGCTCGAGGCACGCAGCACGCAGCACGCACATTAGCGGATGCGAATCAGAATGGCAACGGTACGAAATGGGCAGCTACACCACTTGACAAGCGTCGTAAATGTTGCATATTGCGAACGTTGCGAGCGTCGCGAATGTCGTGAGCCCTCTATGCGAGCGCAAATCACCTCGAGGATGTCCTGAATGTCGCTCAGGTCCTGCGCCTCCTCCGCCGACAGCTGCGCCTCCCCATCCTTCCCCTCCGCCGCCGCCGCCGCCGCCGCTGCCCGCACGGACCGCCTTGACGCGGGACCCGGTTGTCGCGATGAAACGCTTTGCTGCGATTGGCGGCGGCATCGGACGGCTAGCGATCGCCCGGAAGAGAAAGAGACGACACGGGGCGAGCGGGATGCGGCACGACGATGAGCGAACGACGGCGACGCGTGTGGGGCGTGCCGCACGGCAATGGACGTCGCCATTGCGGACGGACAGAATGATCTAACGGACGAAAAAAAACTCTCTGATCACTTGAAATGACAATGGAATCCAAGAAGCTCCCAACGCGGGGGCAATCAGAAAGGGAATCGCACATGGATAAGGTACGCGTCTAAAGCTTCTCCTCTTGGCTGCACAATCAGCTGTTGAGCTTGACAAAACGTAACTCTCGCCACGGTGTGACAGCTCTCGTTTTCTCGGTAGGCAAATCTGCACCAATTGCGATGTCGCCAGCAATGTGGGGAAAAAATGGTTGGGGAAAGGAGGGGTGTGATTGGGTGGAAGAGGTGGCTTGGGGATGGCCTGGTTGAGGAGGCTGGGTGGTTCGGTTTCGGGAGGCTTGGGGTTCGCCTTGGTAGGGACGAGCCTTGGTGCTGCTTCTGCTGTGCTCCCAAGCCACTCTCTGCTAGCTCCCACACCTATGTTCTGGTTACCGAGGCGAGACAAACTTCGTTTGGGAAATACCAGAGCAGGTTCGGAGGGAAGGCTCGTGCGGAAAAGAAAGGTTGGCGAAGGGAAGGTAAGGCAAACAACCCAGGCAAACCCCAAAGAGTGTTTTCCCGTGGGGGACGCTTCCTCCCACTTCTTCCTGGAAGGAACGAATGCCCAGCAAAAACTGTGATCTTGTCCGAGACTTCATGAGCGTCGCACGCGGTGGCCTTCTGAGCGTCTTGTGTGTGGCGCGCTGAATGCGGGCTGAAGTGCGAGCTTGTGTAGTGAAGCCATATGCAGACTCGAAATAGCAGCTGCTGAAAGCGCAGGTTTAGCTGCGACGCACGCATTCTGAGTGACCCAGTGTTGTTCCACGCGAGTCCGCAGTTTTACATTCGCAGCGCTCCTAGGTTTGCCTTAGTCACAAAGAACACGCAACTGATTATAGAAAAGCCTTCGACACAAGTGTATACACGTTGAAGCCGTGGTATTCTATATCATACTCCAGCTTCACGTCAGCTGCCAGTTGGTGCACATGGCTGTTCTCATGGACTCTAGTAGTAGAACCCACATTCACGATCTCCTAGACGACGTTCTCATCAGGATCTTGTGGCCTTCCAAGCAGTCAGTCATTTCTTGCACATCGGACAGCGATGCGCTGTGCAACTTTGTCACGCCAAGGTCTAATCATCTCTACAGGGACGCTACTCCGGACACTGCGATGCCGACCCTTCCTGCCTCTGCAGATGCCGCTCATAGTCTCGTCATCGCGTCCATCTGCCGTCGCTGGCGGCGTCTCGCTCAGAGGCATGTTTCGACGCTTCTCGTCAAAGAAGACCGCGCAGTTTCTCGTCAGGATGTCCTCACCGCCGTCGCTTGCTTCCCGAATTTAACCCACCTGCATCTGTCGGACGGAAGTGTTGAAACGCTGGACAACTCATTTCTAGCTGACCTCGCCTCCTCATGTCCTGGGTTGAGAGCGCTGCACGTGGGCAAGTTGATGATGGCAGCGGACGATGGACAGCACGGAAGGAGGGACCGCTTTATAACCGAACCTGGTTTGGACTATTTCTTCCGTCACTGCCCTCAGCTAGAGCAGCTGTCGCTGTACTGTCTTGAGGGAGATCAGAACCCACCAGCTTCATTTTTTCAGCTTCAACATTTGAGCATCCTCGTCTTGACCAATACTTGGATCTTAAAGTCTCCAAACCTCAGCCGCCTTTCGTCCCTCACTGCACTCTCCATTGAAGCCTTCTCTCTTCACTACGACCAGCTTTCTAGCCTCCTTCAACTCACCAACCTCATCCGCCTCTCCTTGCCGGATGACATTCGCGTCGTTTCACCAGATCCCCCTGCCTTCTCGCTCGCCCAGCTACCCTCTCTCGAGTCTCTCAAGTTTGGACTGCACGGTGCTCAGTTCAGCGTTTTTCCCCCTCTTGGATCGCCATACAGCTTCCTGAAACGCCTGCAGCTTAACGAGTGCTTCAGCCAAGAGCGGATTCCAGACAGTGTAGGAGAGGTGCTGCCACGCCTCCAAGAGCTCAGCATCAGCGGCCAAAGCTTCAGGGACTTGACTGATCATTTCACCTCCCTCACCTGCTTGGAGAGCTTGACCATTTCCTCATGCCTCGTGCTCACTCTACCTGAAAACTTTGGGAATCTTCCAGCTTTGAAGGCGCTGGTGCTGCAGGAGCTGCCGCTTTGCCATCTCCCGGCTTCCTTCACTAGACTCGCATCGCTGGAGTCGTTTTGCCTGTGTGACTGCATGGGGGTGGAGAAGCTACCTGCAGGGTTTGGCAACCTCACTGCACTGCAGACTCTCAGCCTTGCGTGGCTGATGAAACTGGACCTTCCAGAAGACTTGGGGGGGCTGACCAATCTTCAAATCTTCCATCTCATTAAAAACAGGGAAGAGCAGCTGCCATCGTCATTCACGCAGCTGGCTTCGCTGACCAGGTTGGAGCTAGATCGGTGCGCGATTGCCGGGCTTCCTGTGGGGATGGCAGAGATGACAAACCTGCAGGAGCTCCACATTCTGAAGTGTCCGGCCTTCAAGGAGCTTCCGGAATGTGTGACGGCGCTCACCAGCCTTCAATTGCTGAGGATTCAAGAGTGTCGCCGTCTCTCATCGGTTCCCAGGAGGCTGGACAGCCTTACCAGGCTGAAGCAGTTGGAACTGAGGGGATGTTGGCTGCTGAGAGAAGCCCCTCAAGCTCTGCCTCTCACTCTCCAGGCGCTATCCTACTTGGAAAACAGTCAGCACGTGGTGTCTCCGACAAACATTTCAAGGCTCACTGAGCTCAGGATATTGAGGCCATGGGTGCCAGCCTCTCTGGTCTCTCTCGTGTGGAGCACCTGGAAGTGGGGCTGGGAGAAGATGCAGAGGAGCTTCTGACCGTGTTGACAAGGCTTCCCCGCCTTCACACCTTGACACTCCAGGAGGCTCGCAGCTTGGACAGGCTGGTGGAGTCTGGCGGCTCGGCATTGCAGGAGCTACGACAGCTGAACATCAGAACCATGTATGAAGAACTCGCAGAGCTGCCTGCGGCCATCACCACTCTCCACCACCTGACATCCATTCAGATCCATGCCCGGATGTTATCTTCCCTTCCAGATATCTTGGGGGCATTCTCAAGGCTGCACAGGCTGGACTTATCCCACTGCTCATCCCTCACGCGTCTCCCTGCTTCCCTCACGCAGCTCTCCTGCCTGCATTATCTGAACCTCAGCTACACCAGCATCTGCATGCTTCCTCCTAACTTTGCTCGGCTCAGCAGACTCAAGAAGCTCAATATCTCTAACTGCAAGCACCTCGAAGCGCTACCTGACGACATATGTAATCTCAGAATGCTCGAGCGTTTTTCTACTGTGGGGTGTGATATGCTCCAGCACTGAGGCTGTCTTTTCACCACTCATACATTAGCCCCCCTAGTTAGTTTCATATGTTGTAAAATTGATCTTAGTGAACTTACTTATGGGCCAGAATGCTTTCCCAGAGAAATGGTATGCATTCTTCTAGGCTGAACCGTCGGCCCAAATTGTTCATCCTTGAAAATGTTGACAAGAGGGAGATTTTCTGGTCTGGGTTTGGGCAAGGCATGACAATCTGTATGATGATTTCTCGTGGGATTATGAATTTCATTGTGAATGTCTGTATGTCTCAAGCCATGATAAGTATTGTGCTAAATGTTCCATGGTGTTATGATTACCGTATGCGCCCGGATATAAGACATATATGTCTTATCTCGTACACAGGCAAAAATGCTTGGGTTGTCTTGTATTTGGGACAGTTTAGGGTGTCTTATAAGTCTTATAAATGGACAAAGAACCGTTTAGAAGATACCCCCTCGCTATACGATTGCCCCTAACCCCTACACTGGCTTAACTCGTACATACAAATAGGTGTCTTATTATGAGCCTACCCTGTTCATAAGAGACACCCGGATAATAGACACCCTCTGTCTCCTATTCAACATTGTCTTATATCCGGGTGATGACGGTAGCAGGCGGAACGCCACGTATGATGATGACTTGTATGATGAATGTCGCATGGCATGATGATTAGCTTTTTGGATGTTTCTAGGCGCGATGATGTCTCAAGGCATGATACGTTGCATGATGATGCAGATTCAGGACGTGTTCAGGCCTGATTATCTGAATGTTGAGGTGAATTTCTAGAGCATGACTACCTTGCCATGACAAAATGAAGGCCAAATGTCATATGGCATGATAGTTAGCACTTTGAATGTGTATAAGCCAGATCAGCTGTATGCTGAATGTCTCATGGCTTTATGACTTGCATGTTGAATGATTTGCAATGAGAAATTATTTGCATACTCAAATTTTCATGGCTAAAAGCATGTTGTATTGCATGATGTATGCCTCATAGTACATAGATTTGAGTGCTGAATGTGCAATGGCATGGAATATTGCATGGTGAATGTCATGATGAAATGCTGACAGATTGATGAAATGCATGATAATATGCATGCTGAATCTCGCATTAGACTATGAATCGCACGACAAACATTCTGAAGCTCTTGGCCTGAAAAGTTCAACCTTACTAAGTTGAGAGCTGGGCAGTTGGGGAGGTGAACACGAGTCGAGCAGCGCTTTGGTAGCGACGATTGTTCTATCTTCACCCAACACAAGGGGGCATGAGAGGAGCGTGGGAATGAAAAGAGTGGGGTATGAGAGGATTTGGGGGTGTGAGAGTAATGGGGGGATATGAGAATAGTGAGCAATGAGAGGCCTGGGGGGTATGAGAGGCTGGCATGATTCAGCCTTGCATGATTCAGCTAGGCATGATTCATCCACTCATGATTTAGCAAGGAATGATTCAACATGGCATGATTAATCCAGGCATGATGCAGCCAGGCATGATTCAGCCAGGCAGGATTCAGCCAGGCATGATTCATCCAGGCATAATTAAGCCTGGCATGATTCATCCAGGCATGATTAAGCCTGGCATGATTCAGCCTGGCATGATTCAGCATGGCATGATAAAGCCGGGCACGATTCAGCCTGGCCTGATTCAGCCTGGCGTGATTCAGCCTAGCATGATCCAGCCCGGCATGATTCAGCCAGGCATGGTTCAGTCAGGCATGCTTTATCCAGGCATGATTCAGCCTGGGATGATTCAGTCTGGCATGATTCAGCCTTGCATAATTCATCCAGGCATGATTCAGCCTGGCATAATTCAGCCTGGAATGATTCAGCCTGGCATGATTCATCCTCGCATGATTTAGCTTGGCATGATCCAGCCTAGTATGATCCAGCCTGGCATGATTCAGCCAGGCATGATTCAGCCTGGCATGATTCAACCAGGCATGATTCAGCCATGAATGATTCAGACATGCATGGTTAAGCCTGGCATGATTCAGCCTGGTATGATTCAGCCTGGCATGATTCAGCCTGGCATGATTCAGCCTTGCATGATTTAACCTGGCATGATTCAGCCTAGCATGATTCAGCCATGAATGATTCAGCCTGGCATGGTTTAGCCAGGCATGATTCAGCCAGGCATGATTAATCCTGGCTTGATTCAGCCTGGCATGATTCAGCCTGGCATGATTCAGCCTGGCATGATTACGCCTGGCATGATCCAGCCTGGCATGTTTCAGCCAGGCATGATTCATCCAGGCATGTTTCAGCCTGGAATTACTCATCCAGGCATGATTCAGACTGGCATGATTCAGCCAGGCTTGATTTAGCCATTCAACCAGGCATGATTCAGCTTGGCATGATTCAGCGAGGGAGGATCCAGCCAGGCATGATTCAGCTTGGCATGATTCAGCCTGGCATGATGATTCACCCTAGGATGATTCAGCCTGGCATGATTCAGCCTAGCATGATCCAGCCTGGCATGATTCAGCCGGGCATGATTCAGCCTGGCATGATTCATCCAGGCATGATTCAGCCAGGCACGATTCAACATGGCATAATTCATCCAGGCGTGATTCAGCCTTGCATGATTCAGCCAGGAAGGATTCAGCCAGGCATGATTCATCCAGGCATGATTCAGCCATTTTCCCAGGAATGATTCAGCCTGGCATGATTCAGATTGGAATGATTTAGCCTGTCATAATTCATCCAGGCATGATTCAGCCATTCATCCAGGCATGATTCAGCCATTCATCCAGGCATGATTCAGCCTGGCATGATTCAGACTGGCATGATTCAGACTGGCATGATTCAGCCTGGCATGATTCAGCCTAGCATGATTCAGACTGGGAGGATCCAGCCAGGCATGATTCAGCCTGGCATGATTCAGACAGGCATGATTCACCCTATGATGCTTCAGTCTGGCATGATTCAGCCTAGCACGATTCAGCCTGGCATGAATCATCCAGGGAAGATTCAACCATTCAGCCAGGCATGATTCAGCCTGGCATGATTCAGCCTGGCATGATTCACCCTAGGATGATTCAGCCTGGCATGTTTCAGCCAGGCATGATTCAGCCTGGCATGATTCAGCCAGGGATTGTTTAGCCTGGTATAATTCATCCAGGCATGATTCATCCTGGCATGATTATGCCAGGCATGATTCAGCCTGGCATGATTCAGGCTGGCATGATTCACCCTAGGATGATTCGTCCAGGCATGGTGCAGCCAGGCATGATTCAGCCTGGCATGATTCATCCAGGCATGATTCAGCCAGGGGTGTTTTATCCTGGCATGATTTAGCATGGAATGATTCAACCAGGCATGATTCAACCAAGCATGATTCAGCCAGGCATGATTCAGCCAGGCATGATTCAGCCTGGTATGATTCAGGCGGGCATGAATCAGCCTGGCATGATCCAGCCAGGCATGATTCAGCTACGTATTGTTAGGGTACAGTAACATGATCGGTTGCATGCAAGACAGTTTCATGACATGACCAGAGTTTATGCTGAAAGTCTCATAGCATGCTGACTGCGTGATGGCATGCTAGTATGTAATTTGATTAGCTCATGGTGTGATGATTTTTTTGCAGGATGTTGGATTAACATAAAACGGCGTTTGTGCATTGTCATATCTCATGTACCGTATTTCGAATTCCGTCTAGTATCTTGATCAGGCCTAATTTTATCAGTGTAAATCGCCCTGATACCCTGATTATCAGGGTGATTTTTGATAGTAACACTGATGGCCTAGGGTAAATTTCCTAGGAGCTAGGATTTTCCTGATCAGCCAGTGTTCACATTTAAGGCACACTGATGCCTCAGGGTTACCGTTCTTCATAAGGAGTTTTACCCTGAAACGAGTACCATACCCCCTTCCCCCCCCCCCCCCTTCTCCCCCTCCCCCACCCCCCCTTTCCCGTGACCCGGGATTCTCGATTGCCAACTGTCGAAACCGGAATTTCAGCCTCGACAATACATGTGCTGGCATGAAGCGGGCCACCATTGGCCAGAAATACAGTTACGTTGTTGACAATGCCACTGACTCAACTCGGTCTGTTTCTCTGACATGACAACATGACCAGGTTAGCAGGAAACCTGGCTGAGTGCAGCCGAAAGTCGGTGCCCACCAGCACACTGGGCACCGCGTTCCCGTATGGCCTGTGGGTGGCTGTGAACTTCCCTTGCCAGCACGATAGGAAACATATGCGTTGGGGACTGGGGTCACCAGCACAGGTGCGGTCTCGCCTTTCTGGACGAGAATCCTCTCCCCCATTTGGGAGTTCCAACAAAGGTAGCCGTTTCTCTTGATACACACCACCAGCCATGGCGCAATGTCAGGACGACGATGTAGGAGAAGCTGCTGACGAGCCACCAAACGACGCTGCCGCGCGAACAGGCTTAGATTTCATGCGAGGGCTTCATGTGAACCCTCCGCCGGCCTGCACTGCCGGCCCGTCATCGTGCAGCGGCAAAAAGATGCCTCCTGCTCGCCCTACTGGTTCCAATGCCGTCGCGCCGGACAGTGCTCCCGCCACTGTCAGCGTGACAGAGGTCGGCGAGTCTTCGTCTGGTGCCTCGAAGAAGAGGCTGAGATACGCGCAAGCCGTACTCCCGTTCGGCACGCCTCCTGCTAAGCCGGCTCCGCCTCCAACTCCCACCCAAGCTCCCTCGCGTGTTTCTCGTGAGCTCTCCCGAGCCGAAAAGGCAGAGGAGAGATTTTTGAAGGCGCAGCAGCTATACATCACCCAATGGCTGCCGAAATTTGATTGGCTGCTGCTGGATAAGAACGAGGATGGGTTGCACATCCTGCGCTGTAGTATATGTGTGGAGCACGGCAAGGACGACGCGAAATTCGGGCGCAACGGCACGGGCGGATGCGATCTGCAACTCGGATCGATGAGATGTCATGAGCTGAGTGGCCGCCACGACGAAGCAATGAAAAGGCAGCGCACGCTCATGGCCGAGATCGAGCAGCAGACACGCATCAACGATTTCGCCAACACCGACAAGGAAGGCGCGCGGCTTACTCATCTCGTGCATGGGATTGAGTTCATCTGCGATCACGACGCCCGATCTCCATGTTTCCGAAGCTCATAGGCTTCCTTGCGGAGGAAGAGTCGCCGACATCCCGCTTCAGTCCTATGGCATTTACATTACACTGGAAGTCTACCGTATTTGTTGTGTTTATTGCAATGTGTCCTACTGTGTTGTACTGAGTCCGACATAGCTTTGACTTTACCCCGTGGCTTGTGGCAGATACGGCTTCAACGAGATGGCGGTGGTGATGGCCAATTACCAGAAAACTCAGCAGCTGCAGCATCTTCTCGCTTCACCCTTCGTCGGCTTTACTTGAGACGAGAGCACCGACCGCGCACGTGGCAAACACTCGATTGTGTTTGCCACGTTCCTGAAGAACGGCATCACCGTCACGGAGTTCTTGGTGCTGCTTACGGTGCATAAGTGCGACGCGTCTTCGATTTTTGGCGTGCTCACGAGCCACCTGGACTCTATCGGCCTCGACATCAAACGGGTAGCCGGCATGGGGACCGACGGTGCTTCTGTCATGACGGGGGAGAAGAGCGGCCTTGTATGCCGCTTGCAAGAGCGCGTTCCGCATCTCGTCGGGTGTCACTGCGTAGCGCATCGGTAAGTCAAGTACTGCTTTGCTGCGTAGTTGCGTTTAATCCCAATTCCTACCCTAAATTCACTTACCTTCCTATTCTGTTGCAGGGAGGCGCTCGTGGTCAAGGATGCAGCGAAAGCATACCCAGACCTCAACATGATCGATGCGGCTGTGCGCGCGGTGGGAGAGATCATCTGCCGCTCGAACATCTGGTACGAGCGGTTCAAGGAGCTGCAATAGGAGCTACACCGTACCAACCTGGAGCACCAAGGGCTATTCAACATCTGGTGGCTGTTGCGGGGAGACGCAATAGCGAGGCTGTGCAGAGTTTTCGGGGCGGCAATTGTCATGATCGTGGAGTACGGCCACAAGATCGCGGCTACAGTGCAAACGTTTAAATTTCACTTCTGTTTGTACTTCCTCGCTGACATTCTTGCTGAGCTAAACGCGCTCAACCGCTTCTTCCAGCACCAACAGGCAAGTGTGTACTTTACTTAGACATGCAACTGCAATTTGTTTTTTTACTCTTGCTAACCTGTTTGACGTGCCCGGTGTTGTACAGGTGGACATCACACAAGTCGCCAAAGAAGTTGACCGCACGATCACCATCATCACGCACTGGTACATCCAGTATGGCGAGACTTTCGGGGCCGGGGTCAGCAAGCTGCTGTCCCGATTCATCAAAGATCACGGTGGGGACAAGAGGACGGTGGTGGTTGAAAGGATTGACGCGTAAGGGTGGCAAACATCACATCGCTTTGAGCTGAGCGAGACACCCATCAAGAAGCACACGTTTGGGGGCACGCTTGGTGACTGTGTGAAGTTATACACGGGATTCGCGAAGGAGATCGTGGCGAGGATGAAGTACCGCATGTCGGACTTGCAGCAGATGGGCGGCGTGAAGCTGTTTCAAGTGGAGTCTTGGACGTCCAGGGAGGACCAGCGCGAGTTGAAGACCCTTGAGTGGTTGGCAGCAAACGATGAGCTGTTTGGAGGCATGCTTCCAGGTGAGATCATATTTATTTCGGTCGTTTGATTCGTCATGCGCACTGTATGTGGCACTGCCACACTAACCAACAACCAACCCCCCTTACATCCACCGCCCCAAACCCCATCCTCGTCAGGATTCGATTTCAAGGCGGCGAAGAAGGAGTTGAGGAGCTTCTGTCACATCTTGTCACGTCATCACGCGGGGGAAGATTTCCACCAGGGTCTTACAAGCATGTTGAAGAGTCGGGATTGGCGACGCAGCTATCCAAACCTGATGACACTCTTGCAGGCCCTTGCTGTCCTTCCGCTGAGCACAGTGGAGTGTGAGAGAGGATTCAGTCGCCAGAACATCATCAAAAGCAGGCTTCGCACATCGCTGTGCGATGCCCGCCTTGGCGACCTCATAACGCTGCACATGCTCAAGTACCCATATGTCTGGCCAGATGTGGTGGACATCTGGCGCAAGCAGAAGACCAAAAGGCCGGCGCATGCGACTCCTGTGGTCCGGATGGAGAAGGAGAAAGTTCTAGAGCCCGCAGAAGATAGTGACGACAAGCAACGCCCATGTCTGATGATGATGACTATAATTTTTATTGTGTGCAACGCTAATATCAATTCATCAGGGTTTGCAAAACAGGTACACTGATGCCACATGGTTTGATTTTCATAAACAAGAAAAACACCGATGGATCAGGGTTTGAACAAGGTGTCACACTGATAATCAGGTTTTTGAACGAGTGCAACAGTGATCACTGAGTTGCTCAAAACCAAAAATCAGCCCTGATCTTGATGCGTGCTCAATGGCATGGTGTTTGTGTGAATTGCATGAAACATGTGCTGGTGGCGAAAGTGGTCACTTGGAACAAATTACTTCTGTGTGAGAAACATGTTGTGAATTCGCTGTGCTAGCTGCCAACACCCCGTCCTCTTGAACATCAGGCTAAGTTAACATGCAAGGCAAGATGAGGAACGTGGAGATGAAGTCTCACTCAACCAACGTGTGGTACAGTATCAAAACCAACCAGAAGCGATAAAACGAGTTACCATTCATCTTCCATCATCAACTCCATAGGATCAAGTACCTAGCTTGACACACCCTTCGATGTCCAAGCGTTCAAGGAGCTTGAGCTCAGTCAAACCCTCCGGCAAGGCTTTCAGTCGTCTGCAACCCAAAAGGGAGAGGTCTTTGAGTCGGGCGAGCTGACCAAAGTTAGTAGGAAGGGAGTAGATGGAGGTATTGCTCAGGTTTAGGTAGTGGAGGCGGGAGAGCTGCGTGAGAGAGCAGCACAAGGACAAGTCCAGGCTGCGCAATCTGGATAAAGCTCCAATGCCCTCTGGAAGGGAAGACAGCCTGGATGCATCAACACGAATGGATGTAAGGTTCTGAAGGCTTGTGACGGTCACTGGCAGCTTGGTCAGTTTTTCAGCCCTGTGCACATGCAGCTCCCGTAGATCTTGCGATGGTGACAAATCCGGAAGCCTTTTCAGGTTTTGAGCAAACCGAATGGTAAATGTGCGGAGGCGAGAAAGAGACAAGAATGAAAAAAGAAAGCTCCTTTTCTTCGCCTGTCGACTCTATTCTCAAGTCTTCCAGCCTGGAAAGGGCTATGACCATGGGGCAACGTGCTTCAACAATACCCAAGCACAGCTTCTTGAGGTTGGTAAGCTGTGACATGTCTGGCAGAGCTGTAGGGTGCTGATGGTTCCCTATATATAGCACCTGGAGAGAAGTGGGCAGATAATCGGGAGCTTCTTTCAGCTTCTTACACCCACTCAGCTCCAACTTCTTCAACCGAGTGAGGCTGTCCAAACTCTGCACTGTACCGAGCGAGATGCACATCTCAATACCCAGAACACGAAGGCTTGTCAAGGCTGTGACAGGTTCTGGAAGCTTACTGAGATATGGACAATATTGAAAATACAGCTCCTGCAGGTTTCTCAGCTGATCCATGCCATTCGGAAGCTCAGCTATGCGGGAACCGTAAAACTCTAGCCGGATCAGAGAAGCCAGTTGCAAGAACGATGGTGGGAGCGGCTGCTCAGCGTTGCTACCATTCAAGAGGAGGGTGTGAAGATTGGTCAGCTGGCCAATGTCTTCTGGAAGCTCCAACTGCGGCGATTCCACCAGTCGCAGGCACTTGAGTGATGTGAGGCAGCCAAAACCCTCCGGCAGGGAGTTCAAGTTGGGGCAGTCCATGATGCAGAATGTCTCCAGTGAGGACAGCTGGCAGAAGGAGGTAGGAAGCCTTTTGACCGCCAGCGGGTGCAGCACCAATGTCTTTAGTGCTGAAAGATTGCCAGCTCCGTTGGGTAGCTTGGCCAAGCGGTAACAGGAGATTCTCAAGCTCTTGAGGGAGGTTAGAGCAGCGAAGTCCTCTGTTAGATCGGTGAGGGATCCACAGTAAGTGAAGGTGAGATCTTCAAGGCATGGCAGTACCTCCGCAATATCATCGGGAAGTCGCTCCTGCTTTTCGCACTGGATGAGGTGCAGCCGTTTCAAGCGCAAACACTGCGACACCAGAGAAAATATCTCGTTGAATGGGGCTCGGTGAAACCCAACTTTCAGCGACTCAAGAGAAGGTAGCAGCGAGAATGTGAAGGCCGGCGGGCCTTCAAAGTCGACCAACATGTTTCCCGGTAGGTCGAGACGCGTGAAGCGTGTAAGGTGGACGAGGCTGGAAAGCTGCTGATAACCCAGGTCGGAGGTTTCGATGGAGAGGGACTTGAGGGAAGACAGGCTCTTCAGCTCTGGATGCTGTAAGATGACCAATGAGTTCAGGAGAAGGACGCGCAAGCGTGGTAGCTTGAACAGGGATGCTGGTAACTTGTCATCTTTACGGAGACAGCAGAGCGACAGCTCCTCCAAGTGAGTGCAGTGGCGGAAGAAACCATCCAGGCCAGCTTCGATTAACAGACGCTTCCCCCTCTAGTGTGGGGCCTTGTCCTGTGCTATCAACTCCCCCACATGAAATGCTGTCAGCCGGCATGACGAGGCAAGCTGGGCAAGGAAGTGGTCGTCCAGATTCTCCATGCTGCCATCGCTGAGATGGACATGCGTCAGCTTTGGGAAGCAAGCGTCCGCATTGAGCACATTCGTGTGAGAAATGACGCGGTCTCCATCGACGTGGAGCGACGATACATGTCGCCGAGCGAGACGCCGCCATCGATGGCAGATGGATGCAATAATGAGACTGTAAGGGGGGGTGGATCTTTGGTCACGGAGCTCCTTTGGGGTAACGTTTGCACGGATGTACTTTGGTTAGGAAATAAAGACTTCCACTCGGAGACGATATCGAATTCAAATAGCCGGGAAGGCCAAAGGATTTTAACGAGGACATCATCAGGGAGTTCATTAATGTGCGTTGCTGAATCCATACAGAAGTTAAGTTGATAATACGACAGGCAAGGTAATGCTATAAGCTGGGATGGTCGCGCAATTACGGGGATAACAAAGAATAAGAACACTATCACCTGCTCAAGCTTGAATCCTTATATCAAGTTCAAAGCTTCGGCAGGGAGAAGTGCTAGGGGGAATTCAAGGTTTGCTGGGAATGGAATGGAAGCGGAAAATCGGAAGGGTTTGTGAAGGTTTGTGAAGGGGTGGAATGGAATGGGAGAAGAGGAGCAGGTACGGAGGGGAAAGTGCCAAACCAGCAAGTTTGGGAAGAGCATGGTCTGGGCAAGCACCGAAGTTCGCCCCTCCTAAGGACGCAGCACCTGTTTTCATTTTACAAGGATCGTGGTCTCACATCGACCCTGGCATATCGATCGGCACACTGATGTGCCCACACTGCAAATTTGCAGTGGGGTAGACACATCGAGCTATAGGTGCCAGGATCGAAATTGCAGGCTCGGGCAGGTTGGAGCTGCCATTACACTTAAACGCGCAGCCAATCAGGGTAGAGCGTGGATGTCGTCCAGCAATTCCATTCGCAGCGACTCAAGATTTTTTTGCCTGCGACCGTGGGCGACGCCGATCGATCGAGGCTGTCACCTGTGGCGCGATATGCTCTCCCGCCAACCCTAACGCATGCACCACGGCACATCGATCGTGCGAGTTGCAGGTGCCACCAATTTGGGTACCTGTTTACTGTACATTATCGACGTTCAGCGAAAAACGGATACCAGGCATTGGCGATGTCGCCATTCACTGTACAAGCGGCACATAGTCCCCTCCCACGATCGATCCTGGCAAAATGAAAACAGGTGCCGCGTCCTAAGGCAAGCCTTGGCTGGTTTGGAAGGTTTGG